CATCTTGGCTACATTGTACGGCTGCTATACAGTAAATTATTTAACTAACTCTTCTTTGTCTAACAACAAAGTTGTTTTTGGTATTCACCCAAAGTTATTTTCCCTTAAATACATGTTATAGAGCATCAGAACGCACACATGAAAGACAGAAGTGGATTGCCTGTATAACAGAGAGTGAGGGTGAGGAGAGTAGGGAAAGGGGGAAGGAAAAGAAGGAAAGCAGGATCGAAGGTCAGATTGGGATGTGCAGTGGCCAAAGCAGGTGGCCATAGGTCTGGGCGTGGACCACACGAATCACATGCACCTGCCCTCTTTGGTATCCTGGTGGTCTGGCTGGTGAGGGAGCTCCAGGATGAGATGCTTAGGACCAAAATGTGGTGATAAAATGGCAGTTAGAGAGACAGCGAAAGCTTCCCTAAGATTCTAGAGCTCTTTCCCCTATGGGACTGCACGGACATCAGGGGTCCTGACTTTCCCCACGTGAGCTTGCTTTGCCTCCATTCTAGGCTGGATCACTGTAGTGACTGAGGAAAGAGGAAGGCATGAGAAAATAACCACAGTAAGACCAGCAAGGAACTCATCGTTCACAAAAACTTATTTTTTTTTTCCAATTCCGACTGTACAACTAAGGTCATTTACAGATCCAAGGGCAGTCTCTATCCCCTTACTCTCACCTGGGGTTCACCCCTTACTCTCATCTGGGGTTCAGGTAGGAGAATCCTGGAAGACACTGGGCTGAGCCACTTTATATGGAAAGAATGAGGAATATTGTTATTCTTCAAAGGCCACTAACCCAGAAGAAAAATAGTATAAAAAAAATCAACTTAGCCCTTCCTCCACCTCCACTCTGTTATTTTTATTAAGAAACACAAAACCTCAAATGCATTAGCTTTCTTAAAAATATTTTGTTAGAAAAGATTTCAAGTATTCAGAAAACTATAGAGAACAATAATACAGGCAGCCATATACCTTCGTTCAAGTTCTAAGAAATCTTACATTTTTGTCGCATTTGCATTATATATTTTTTTTCAGTTTTTTTTAAATTAAATCATTGCTATGTACATTAATGCAGTCATGGGGTACATTGTGCTGGTTTTATATACAATTTGAAATATTTTCATCAAACTGGTTAACATAGCCTTCACGGCATTTTCTTAGTTATTGTGTTAAGACATTTATATTCTACATTTAGTAAGTTTCACATTATATCTTTTTTTTTAAAGCAAATAAAACATTGAAGACACAGTCGCAGCCCTTTGGGGACTCTGACTTCAGCCCTTTTCACACTGTTCCCTCCCTGGAGGCAACCACTGTCCAGAATTTACATCTATTCTCTTTAGCTATATTTTTTACTTTTATTTCATAAATATGCCTTCAGAAACAACATACAGAAATATAACTGGTATTATGCCAGAGCTATAATTCTGCAACTTGATTTTTTGTTTGTTTGCCTGGGCTGTTCGAACCTGCGACTTGATTTGTTCATTCAGTGTCATGACTTTGAAGTACATCTGTTTATATACAGAACTTCCGTCTTCTGTTTATTTCTTTGACAGCGTGTAGAATTCCATTGTACAATGATACCATGACCTATTTATCCATTTTCCTCTTAATCAACATTTAGGATTCCAATTTCTTCTTGTTACAAATATGATGTGGTGAACATCCTTACACATGTGTGAGTTTCTCTAGGGTATGTGATTGGGTGGAGTTGCTAGGTGGCCGGGCATGCTTGTTGGTGGGGCACACATAATGATGGTAGGGCACCCGTGCCCTCAATTTTGCTAGGTAGTGTGACATTGTTTCCCAAAGAGGGTGGACCAATTCATTCTTCTACCAGCTATATCTTAAGTCTTCCTGTTGTTAACTCTTGGCATTGCCACACTTTATCGTTTTCATCCATTTGATGGGTGTGGAATTACCGGTATGCTAATGTTGCTTTTCTCCCTGATGAATTATGAGAAGTATCTTTCCATATGTGTTTTACCATTCAGGTTTCATCTTGCACTTAAACTTTTAAAATTTCCCCAAAATTTAAAGCATAAAATTTACTCTGCCAAGTACTATGAAATGATAAATGTGAATCCAGCCTTCCTGGACAGCATGAAATCTGAATGGTGTTTGTGACATGAGGGCCAAAGAAACAGGTCCCAAATAAGTATTAAATGTGCATTGGGATGACCAGAGAGAGATGTGGTATGAACACAGTGCGGTCAGATTTACCACACAATGTGGTTGTATGTATTTTTGACCCAAGAAAAGTCCTGACAACTAGGTGGGTAATTTTAGAAGGGTTTAGTGGCTTCCAGAATGTTAGAAGAGGAAGTACAGGACTTGAGGGGATTAGTGCTGTTTGTTTCTAAACCAGAAAGTTGGGCTGTGTGACCGTCACCTGGCACGCTGTTGGAACAAGGGTGTAAGAGAGGAAATATAAAATTCATTTGTGGTAGTGGCAATTTTCTTGTAAAATTTGCCAGTTTTGCTGTTCTTAATCACTTGGGTTTCCTTCTCCCCAGCATTGTCTAGCACTTGAGTCTCCCTTGCTCTTTTTTTTAGAGACAGAGTCTTACTTTGTTGCCCTTGGTAGAGTGCTGTGGTGTCACAGCTCATGGCAACCTCCAGCTCCTAGGCTTAGGTGATTCTCTTGCCTCAGCCTCCCAAGTAGCAGTCTCTCTTGCTCTTTAAAAGATACATTTTGTCCAGTCTCTAGGTGGTGATGGTTCTTTGTGTTCTTCAATCTCTATGTTTGGCTTCGCTTCCTTTAGAGGGTAAGGATCATGCCTTTCACTGCCCTTGAACATTTGAGTCAGAGATTTAGAGGTGAATGAGACGTTAGAGATAATTTGGAAATAAGAACTCCTAATATTTTTTTCTGGTGCTTTGAAATTGATAAAGCACCTTCATATTCATTTTGTTCTCCCACGCACCCAGTGAGGTGGGTCTGGGAAGTGTTGTTGTTGTTGTTGTTTAGCCTCATTTTATGAATTAGTGGCACTTGGTTATTGGGCCAGAAGGAGCTGAAGTCAGAACTCAAATCTGGATCTTCTGCCCGTGAATCCCACTCAACTTCCCTGACTGCATTCATGTTATACCAGAGCATTTAGCCCGTAGCTTCCTGCTACTGGAGCTGGAGATGCCTGCTGCCTTTGCACACTTACACTGACTTATTATAATCTACTATTTTTCTTTTCCTTTTTGTAAATTACCTTTTTTGAGACAGAATGTCACTCTGTTATCTTGGGGTTGAGTGCCATGGCTTCATCATTGCTCAAGCAACCTCAGGCTCTTAGCCCCAAACTACCCTCCTGCTTCAGCTTTCTGAGTAGCTGGGACTTCAGGTGCCCACCACAATGTCCAGCTAATTTTTCTATTTTTAGTAGAGATGGAGTCTTGCTCTTGCTCAGGCTGGTCTCAGACTCCTGAGCTGAAGCAATCCACCTGCCTCGTCCTCCCAGAGGCCTAGCATTGCAGGCTTGAGCCACCATGCCTAGCCTTACTATGATCTTTATTGAGGTAAGAGGCTTGAGCCGTTTCAGGCAAGTTGGAGTTAGTAGAATTAGGATTAAAATTTTTAACCTTAGTAAATTAAGCAACAGTTCATTAGTGGCTCTCAACTGTGGTTCCTGAGGAAGTTTAAAAAAATACTCATCCTGATCCCATCTCAAACCAATGAAATCAGAATGGTGGCTGAAGAGGAATCATTCTGTCTCTTTGTTTTATGGATTCCATTTTTTTTGAGACAGAGCCTCAAGGTGTTGCACTGGGTAGAGTGCCACAACATCACAGCTCACAGCAATCTCCAACTCCTGGACTCAAGCAAGTCTCCTACCTCTGCCTCCCAAGTAGCTGGAACTACAGGCAACTGCCACAATGCCTGGCTATTTTTTGGTTGCAGCCGTCATTGTTGTTTGGCAGGCCCAGGCTGGATTGGAACCCACCAGCTCAGGTGTATGTGGCTGGCACCTTAGCTGCTTGAGCCACAGGTGCCGAGCCTCCATTCTTGTTTTTTATGTTTAATGCTGTTGCATTTGTTCTTCAGTTAAAGAAAAAAATAGTGTTAAGTTCTATGATTTGTTATTTCTTTTTAGCCAGTGCCTTGAACTAAACTTCTAGCTCTCTCATACCCATGACTGTCTACTGCCTTTTTTTTTTAAAGGTTTTTATTGTTCAGCTGTTGACTGGCTTTGACCTCACAGAAATTACTCAGCCTATGCTTCCACCCGACTCCCTTTCTCGGTACTTACCCTTGAGGTGCTCCTGCCTTACTTTCCAATTTTTCCTTCCAAATCCAAGGATTGTCCTTCCACTCTTCATCCTCATGAGCTTCATTCCTCCTTGTCCTGTGGCTAAAATAGGCTTCTGTACTTGGCATTTATAAGGAGAGCATACATACTGTACTTTCCCCTGTTCCCTTTTTATAGCCCTTTTATAAACATTCCATCTCTGACTAGAAGACTGATCAAAACTCTGAACTCCCCAAAGGAAGCTTGTGTTGGGTGTCTTAGCTGTTTAGGTGCAGACTTGGCAGGCCTGGGCTTGGGACGGCAGATTGGGAAGGTGTCATGGAAGGACATCGTACCTGCCTCCTATGAATCCACTCACGGGGAGGTCTGCTCCATGGTGCAGATGTGGCTTTGTGGAGTTGAGCGTGAGGCAGTCTCTGAGTGGGAGCTGGTTTGGGCTCATATTTGAGCCCATGTGCCTACCCTAGTTTGAGAAGGCCATGAGCAATTTACACAGGCTTCCTATCTTGTCTATCTAAAAGCATCTTCCTTGGGAGATATCTGGTTAGCCTTAGAGAAATAACTAGAATTTTTAGTTAAAGCAGATTTAAGCTGGTCACCTAAGCCAAGATTAAATCTTGTCAGAACACGACTAATGCAAATAAAAGAAAAGCTAGTGGCTATATTTGGCAAATGGGAAATATACAGCATTTGACTTACTATCACCAAAAGTCCCTTAACTCCACTATGTCTCTAACTTGTACTGTTTGGTTCCAGGGGCTCGTGTGAATGCCAAGGACAACATGTGGCTGACCCCACTGCACCGGGCTGTTGCTTCCAGAAGTGAAGTGAGTGATTATCTTATTTGATCTAATACCTAGTGTCCCTAGAAAATGGATTCTTCCCAGTGAATTTAAGGATCCCTAGTAGTGAGCAAAGGATGTTTACCACTAATGTAAGAGGGTTACCAACCCAAACAGCTGTTTATGAGAGCACATCCTGCATGCCACACATGGTGTTGGGGCACGTCTGGGGTAGTTCAAAATGGATACTATGATTCTTGGCTTCGGCATGCTGTCTAGAAGGGAGGTAAACCAGAAGGAGATCAGTATGAATTCATAATTAAATTAGAGGAGGAAGCAACTAACTGCCTGCTTGAATAGAGGAAGGCTTCCAAGAACAGGTGTCAGCTGAGATGATCTGTAAAGGATGAGGAGAGACTTAGCAGGTCAAGAGGAGAGAGGCTGAGCAGGGCACTAAACCTGTCAGAGGACAAGAATCATGGAAGTGAATGAATGAAGGGCTTAGATGTAACTGGAACTCAGGGTGAATGGAAGGTAAGTCAGATAGTAGAGGCTGGGACAGGTGGCAGAGAGCCTAGTGTTCCTCTGAGTCATGGAGAATGATCACAGCAGAGGACTGGTGTGCTCCACTCCATGTTTCAGAAAGACCACTGTGGTAGAAGTATGGAAATGGGCTGGAGGGAGTGGGATTGCAGGTAGGGGTGCCTGTATGGAGTTAGCAGAGGCCTGAAGTAGCTGGGATAAGGGCACAGAGAGTAATTGATGATTTGAGACCTAATTAGAGGTAAACCCAGCAGGTTGTGGCACTTGTACAACCCCCATGAGAGCAGGAATCTGTGGTTTGTTCCTTGATGTATCCCAACTCTGTACATTCTAGATGTTCAAGATGTAATTCCTTGTCAAATGCTGGAAATTCAGGAAAATGCACTATGGGAGGCTGAGGCAGGTGGATTGCTTGAGCTTATGAGTTTGAAACCAGCCTGGGCAAGAGGGAGACTCCGTCTCTAAAATTAGCCAGGTGTTGTGGCAGGCGCCTATAGTCTCAGCTGCTTGGGAGGCTGAGGCAAAAGGATCACTTGAGCCCAAGAGTCTGAGGTTGCTGTGAGTTATGACATCACACCACTCTACCAAGGGTGACAAAGTGAGAGTTTGTCTCAAAAAAAAAAAAAAAGGAAAATCAGACAAATATATCATCTATTATTATGTATACAGGCCTAGAGCTCAGGCACAGGGAGGATGGTCACAGAAACCATGGAAAATGCATCACCTGGTGCAGAGGAAGTACAAAGGATAAGAAGAGAAGACCACTGTGGGGTTGAAGGTGGCTGGGAAGCCTAATGAATGTCAACCTTGAGGCCTGGGCAGAGAAGATGCCCACCATGCAGGGATATGAGAGATGCTAACCGTGGATGCACTTGGTGTTGGATGAATAGCCTTCATAGCCAAGATGACCAAGTGCAGCTTCTCCTCTGGCACTGAACAGGGTGGTATTCTTCAGGTCAGCGGAGGAGCAAAAGATGTTTTTGAGAATGAATATAACAAAGTCACAGGTGTCTTATGGCTGACATCAATGTCAGCTTTTCCTCCTTGGCAACTATCTTGAAATTTCAAAATATACTTGGCAGGTGACAGCTTAGTACTCATAGTCTTCCTTGCTGTTCTTTGTGATTTGAATGGTTTGTAAAAGGAGTTAGATGTATTCTCTTTCCAAATTGCCTGCATGGAATGAGGGAGGTAAATGATTGTCAACTGCCTAACTCAGTTCCTGGGGAATTCAGAATCTTCTTACAGTCTTACATTTTATTTCTATCTTATTTGGGAAAACAGGTGCAGTGGGCTGCCTGAGTTGATACAACTAGCTTCATTAGACTGGCTCCTTCATTGGGAAGCATTTCCTGGGAGCGTTTCTTTTTAAGACTATTTGTACTTGCTGATGGAGTATCAAAGAAAACTAAGACCCAAGGTCCCTGCCCTTAGGAAATGAAAGAGAAAGGCACAAAAACAGATTACTCAGCAGTCTATTACCTATCCCAAGTATTTCCCACCTTTGTTAGTTCAACTAGTTGCAAAAGCTTCAATCCTCAAAACACCCATTTTCCATCAACCTTCTTTAGTGAATCCAGTCAACCCAAAGATGAGAAAGACATTTGTTGCTTCTCCAAGTAACCAGCTCCCTCTGCAGGTTGCTGGGGGGGAAAATCCCTTGCAAGTCTTTTGCCAGACAAGAATTAAATGCAAATAAACCCTGAATTTTGTAGATAATCAGGAACATGTATAAGTTCACAATCAGAATATCTTTACATTAATAAATCATAGCAAGTTGAGAAGTCTCTAATGAAAATTGGAGTCTCTGTAACCATTGTTAGAGTTGATGATGCAATGGCCATCTTAACTGCATTGCTGTGTTATAGAACATCCTAAATTCAGATCTCCTTTTCCTTTTGAATTTGGTCAGATTGCCATTATTTTATAGCTTCCCTAACTAATAGTTGGGAAGAGAGAAGTAGGCTTAGGAGAAAGAATAGAGAAAGTTTGGACTGGCATTTCAGAATTAGGTTATTAGCACTTGCCAAAGGAAATATGTAGTTTCAGCATGAGAGATGGCCAGGTTTATTGGTAAGATTGGCAAGCACTGATGCTATTTACATGACCGTACATTAAAAAATATTTCTTCATTGAAAAGCTCATAAACTCTATACTGTCTTCAAAGCTTCTTTGCTTATAAAACATAGGTAATTGATCTTTTAGAGTTCAGAGTTCAATAAGGGAAACAAAACCACCATGAGAACTATAGGATAAGATATTTACTATAGGAATTAGACCTTATAAAATTGTGTGAGTTGCTGAAGAATTCTATGTAAGAACTGTCACTTTAGTTTCTGTGTGTCCCTGAAGTCATAGTATATCAACAGGGTCTACAGTTGAAAAGAAAAGGTAGATGTACAACCAAGGAGAACATGGACAAACTGGAACTCATGTCTGTCCCAACATTATGGACACTGATGACTTGCAGAAGAAACCAAAGGAAGTGGTAGGATCTGAAGAAGCATCTAGCCAGGTGCTGTCCTGCGCCAACATGGCGATCAAGCCCATTTCTGACATAGCATGCAAGCTGCAATAGTACTTGGTGCCTGACACACCAATCAAGCTGCTGTTTCACTTATGTCTTCCAAAACTCATGTAGATTTCTTTTGTGACCAATCCCACACTATAGGGATGGGGATTCTGGGAAATGCAGTTCAGCTTGGCAAATTTGGCACAGATCAAAGCCACCCAAGAAGTTATACTTGTCCCTATATTTGTAGCATCTCACCTGTGCAGTATACACTTTTGACAATTGTTTTTTGAGTGATTCATTAAAGACTGGGTTTTCAATGTAAACCAGAATAACAATTATCTGTGTAAGTGCTGACATAGGCCTGGGATGTGCCCCGTGAGAATGCTGGTGGTAATCATCTTTCATGCATGCATATTGATCTCTCAGGGTTCCAAGTTCAATCAGGGAAGCACAGTTATGGGGGTTTATGCACTACAAGCCAAGTTAGCCATTGAAACCTGCACAATCAGGACTAGTTCCCAAATTGCATGTAGCATAGATATCAGTATGAGTCAACATTTATGAGCCTTTTTTCCATCTAGACAAGATTTATGTTCATAATTCTGCATCTGGAAAAACCATGTGTGTTGCTAAGGTCATTTCCTGAGCATGTTATAGCAATAGGAGCATTGGATCATGATACTGATTAAGCATTTATCCATGCCTGACATGTTCTCCACAGACAAGAAGGCAGATCAGGACATGACACCCCCTTAAAAATCTTCCAATGTACAGTTGAATTCTAGAGAAAAATATCGAAGGCTTATTTGATACTGACCAGGCTGTCTGTGTGCTTCCTTCTTGACCCAATCCCATAGCCACTTGGATCTAACCAGCATTGTCTCCTTATTGCATTCCTGAGGGCTTCACAGGCTGGATCTTCCTTTTTCTCTGACTGTTCTCAAGGCTATGAAGAAATCAAGAGAGACTCTTACCAAAATACTAGAGAAACATAGTTTGCTAGCTAAGGTAGATAAACAAGATTTGAGGCTGCCAGGGAGAACTATTTCCTATCATTTCTCCTGTTCAGCTCATTCTTGTTGCTTCTTTGTTTTTCTTTCTTAGAAAAGAGCAGCTGTAGAGGGAAGAAATTAAATGTATACAACCCAGAGAGTCTAACACAGGTTTATTGAAGCCCACACGGTGGAAGGCACTATTAAGTGTGCTGTGAGGGGGGGCTTACGGGTGTACAAAGTGTGGCTTTTGAGGACAGAAAACCAGATGCACAGCTCCACTGCAGAACTTCGCTTGAAGGCAACCAGCCTTTCTCAGCCTTCCTGCCATAATGAGCTAAAAGTAACATTGGAGAATTGCTAGACTTTTCACTTCCCTGTTCTAGAGACAATCTTATGGTTAGAAAAGTTAAAAAATGGTTGTATCTTGTCCTTAGAGTATAGGATTGAGGCCCTTGTGTTGTGTAAGTGCTGTCATATAAGTAATTTTTTTATGTGAATATTTATAGCTAGGCAGTAAACTAAGGATGTTGCTTTTTTTTTTTTTTTTTTGAGACAGAGACTGACTCAGTCACCCTGAGTAGTCCTCATATGGAGGACTAAAATGTTATTACTTAAATTACCTCTATGATTATAAAAATATGTTTACCTATAAAACATAGGTTGCACCTAGAAATTAAGCATTTCATAATTTTTTAGTTAGAATGAAGATGAGTGGGGTAGGGGGCAGAGGCAAGATGGCCAACTGGAGCTAGCTTTCCACAGAGACTTCCATCCAGAAGGAGAGTTAAAGGACAGAAGTTCAGCAAGTAAGGTGATGAGTTGGAGCTGAGCCAAGAGAGAAGGTCGAAGAATGCACATCAACCCTGCTGAGCCGAGCTATGACCCCAAGGAAACAAACAATAGGTGCAAAATCCATTGCCAAGCAGATGGGAGTCCCCTCCCCCATGAGAATGGCTCACAGTATACTCTTTACAAACAAGCAAGCAGAGTTC